ACAGATCCCACCCAGTAGGGATGGGAGACACGGACGAAGGGTCTTAATGAGGTGGTTCAATCTTGGAGGAGGTGCCTGCAAAGACCTTCCTGCAGTGACACCTGTTAGGCTCCTTCCTAACTATTATGGCCAAGGCTGGAAGAGTGCACTACACTACTCCATGGTCACTGCGTAAAATGAAAGTACTTTTCTCAGTTACCAAGTTGACAAATTAATACCTTTCTCTCTGTTGAGTTCTAAACAACGAGATCTATCAATCAGGTTTCTTAAAAAACACAATTATGGATTTAATTATCAACACAAAACTTAACCAATTATTGCATTTTTAGTGAAAACCAGACTTGGTCAGTAATGTAGAAGTAGAAATGATTGTTTGTTTAAATATTCTCAAAACAGACACAAATATGGGTCCTCAGCCCCCTACTGTACTCCCTTTACACCTACGACTGTGTTGCCACGTTCCGAACGAACGCCATCTACAAGTTCGCTGACGACATCACTGTAATGGGACGGATATCTAACAACGACGAGTCAAACTAGAGAAGGGAGATGGAGGGCTTGGTGATGTGGTGCAATGAAAACAATCTGTCTCTCAATATCGGCAAAACTAAAGAACTGGTCATTGATTTCAGAAAGAAGGGAAGAAAACATGCCCCCATCTACATTAACGGAACTGAGGTTGAGAGGGTGAAGAGCATCAGGCTCCTCAGAGTGACGATAACTGACAACCTGTCTGAGACTTCCCATGTAGATGCGATGGTCAATAAGGCACAACAGCGCCTCTTCTTCCTCAGGCGGCTCAGGAAATTTGGCATGTCGATGAAGTTCCTCACCAACTTCTACAGATGCACCATTGAAAGCATATTGTCTGGGTGCATAACAGCCTTGTATGGCAACTGCTCTGCCCAGGTCTGTAAGAAACTACAGAAGGTTGTGTGTACAGCCCAGACCATCACGGAAGCCAACCTTCCATCTGTGGGCTCCATTTACATGGCTCGCTGCTATGGAAAGGCAGCCAACATCATCAAAAACCCGTCACACCCCAGTAATGATCTCCTACAACCTCTTCTGGCAGGCAGAAGATACAGAAGCCTGAACACGCACCAGCAGGTTCAGGAACAGCTCCTTCCTGGCCATTATCAGACTGTTGAATGGACTCACTAGCCTTAAATAATGCTGATCTTGCTAATGTTGATCTCACCTAGCACACTGTCTGTGCATTGTAACCTATATGCCTCTGTCTAAGTCTTTTAGATCTGTACATTCTTTGCTTACAATGCTCTGCCTATACCACTCGTAAACAAAGCTTTTCACTGTATTTTGGTACACGTGACAATCAATCAATCAATCAACCAACCTGGTCAGTCTTCAGGAAAAGAGAAAAGAATGCATTTCTCTCGAGCAAGTGACTTTCAAAACAACAAGCTGTTTTGGCCAAAGACAAAAGAATCAATTGCAATATTTTTCAAAGTCTGTTGCTCTGATGTTCTGCCATGTCTGGTCATGGATCATTGTCTCTGCAGTCTTACAGACACAACTTGTTCAAGAAATATAATCCTTCAATAGCTGTTCCAAAAAAAAAAAGTTTCCACCCTGAACTCAACAAGAGGGTCATCTTTCTACAAATAAGAGAGAGCAACTTGGCAACTGATTCTAAACAAATGTTCTTCCGATTCAGCCTGCTTAGATAGCTGCTTGATTTTTATCTGGTTCAGTTGGAGGAAAGCCTGCTAAGGACCATCTGTGTTTAAGACAACGCCCAGCAGGCATCTGTGGTAAAGCTAGTGCTTATCATTAGTCTTTCCAGGAAGCCTTCTTAAAAAAGCTCCAATGTACATAGTGAACTTTCAATAATCTCTTTTAAAGAAACCACTCCAGCTTTTTTCACACAACTTAAAATAAATGCATTTTGTGCAATGTTTCAAAACTTAGGTCTTCAAAGAAATTTGAATCCTCAACTGCTCCTCATATGACAAGCTCTTCATCCCTGGGATCATTCTTATAAACCTCCTCTGGACCCCGTCTAATACCAGTACATTTTCCCTTAGATATGGAACCCAAAACTGCTCACAGTATTCCAAATGTGGTCTCAGCAGTACATCTCTGCTGTTGACTTCTTTGTATTCTAGCCCTCTTGAAGTGAATGCTAACATTATTCTTTCAGAATTCAAGGCCTGATGAAGAAAGGAGAAAAGGTCATGGTGGCTAAATCATTGAACTAGTAATTTTGAGTATTATGATCCCTGTTGTTCCTACTGGACAAGTCAGATCCCAGACTGAAACCTGGGTTGATAGATTTTTACAAATTTAATATGGTGTTGTTTTGCTGAAATATAAGCAAACAATGCTTCAGATTTGGTTTTAGCAGTAAAATGGAGTTTTTACGTAAAATAAATGATGATAAATTAGAACAAACCCAGCTATTTACATTTAATATCATTTGAGAGATTTCAAAACACACAGCAAAATACAATCCCAACGATTCTCAACGCCATCACTCTTCACCACTCAAATACTAGACAGAGAAAGTTCCCTTTTCTATCACATCTATAGGTTTGAGCTCCTATTTTCTTTTGGTTCCTAGTCTTGAGAGCTTGATGGTCTTTTCCTTGATTATTCACACAACTATGCTTAACTTTCTCAGCTTTAAATACCCCTTCATGTTTCAAACCAAACACTTCTGGTCTGGAATTCTCAAATTTATACTGAGATAATCTTTATGCTAATCATTCTGTACAAACTCCTTTCTCTTGCATTTAACTCCAGTTAGATCTTATATGAAATGCCCCCAAATGTTTTCCAATCTATTCTTTTTCTCAGCAATAATCAGTTCTTGATTCTTCTTAAACCAAAAGCAAGCTAATGCCTTTCAATATTTACTCTTTCTGATTGTAAAACACTCCCAATGCAAGCAAATTCCCACCATCACACCAGGAGGGTACTCAGTCAGTTGCTCTCTAACATTAACAACCTGAAGACCTGTGGATGCTGTAAATCAGGAACAAAAACAAAGTTGCTGGAAAAGCTCAGCAGGTCTGGCAGCATCTGTGAAGGAAAAAACAGAGTTAACGTTTCGGGTCC